GAAAATGAATGTATTGTTATGGCTAATTGTCATATTTCACGCTCTGATTGATAATAATAAATAAGAAGTATTTTTTTTAATACTAGACAACACTTGATGTTTCTATCTCTGTCAGTGACTGAGTGACTGTTAAAACGAGTACATTCTCTAAGTGCTTTGGTCACTGTGTTCAATCCTTTCTGTGCAAGACTGTATGGTAGCCTATAGTTAATGCCGCACAAACTGTAAAGTGTAAAGTGTTTGGTAGTTGGTAGTTCATTTTGAAATAAAAATAGCTAAAGGTTCGTTAAGAGTTACATTTTTTGCCGCCGTTTTCATATCAAATTTAAAGGGGACTCGGGTGATAATTTGGTGTACGGTTTATAAGCTTATCGCAAAAGTTTTAGGGGGGCAGTGGAAATATAGGGGGGCACAAGCCAGATATTATGTGTACTAAATACAGGTCATATTGATACCAAAATACATTAACTGATGGAGCTTAATAAACTTGACATTTGTATTGCATTTTAAATTTCATACATGTCCAAAAGTCATTGTACACTGTAAAAAATTATCCATTAATTATAAGGTTCTGTATTTTGTGGTTCACATGGTGTTTGTTTACAGCGGTGATTATTGGTGTGTGCATTATAGGTGTTATATCTCTTATGGGAGTTCTATCTTTAAAAAAAATAAACACTGCAGATTACAAAAAGTTTCCTTTTGTCATTTTAGTAGTTTGAGACCAGATATTGTTTAATAAATGATGTTGAAAGAATTAAGTCTGTAAAATAACAGAAAAATACTGCCAGTTTATTGCCATGTTTTAAGTCAGCTAAAATCTGTATCGGTATTTATTACACCATTGTCAATAACCATTGTTTCAGTATGAAGCATTATAGTTTTATTAATAATCTTGTGTAGGTGTAAGTTAATGTTATTTCCAATCAAGGTGCATGTCTTGCGTGCACAAAAAAGGATTGACGCGCACATGGTGTGCAAGCTGTGCACATGTGACACACTCACATTTTCCTGGCACTCCTAGTTGAAAACATCTAAACTTTCCAAAATGCTGCGTGCACACCGCTCGTGAGATTGCAAATAAAAGAAGAATCTAAGGATGTCACCAGAGTGGCTTTTTTTTTTTCTTGTGCATCCCAGCTACTAGCTCCCCATCTGAAAGATGTTTTATAGGGGATAGTGTAGTCATATAACTTCACAAGTTATAATGTTGCAATATGTATTTAATTAATGAGGGTTGGTTCCTTACTTGACAGTTCAGATTTGATTATCATAATTTGTTTTTGAGGTTTACTCTACTATTATTCACACTTTAATGTTTGCTTTAATTGTTCAACATTTACACTTTGTTTACACATTTTCAAACATTGTACACACTTTGTAATGTATCAAGTTTAAGAGTCTCTTTAACACTTATGTTTATTTATTTATTTATTTATGACTATTAAAACTATTTGCCATAGTAATGTTGGTAAATTAAAATAAAGTGGTTGAATAAAAAATGTGAATATTCTTAAATATATGCCCAGCCCAAACTCAGAAAATACATCACTTTAAACCATTAGAAATGTCAGCAAAAGGTACTTCAACATCAAACACTTTTGGAGGAAAAATCAGAAAACTGCTAATTTACTGATATTTTTTTGTGCGTGTGTGTGAATATTAGTTTTTGGCTCTCAACAAACGTTACTTATGAATATTGAAAACGGTTTTTCAGCTTAACATTCTGATTAAAATTCAGTGATTCCTTTGATAAAGTTTAAAAAACTGATTTTGCAAAATAGTTTATTTGTATTGATTTAACTTTTTCATTTTAATAAAGTTAATGCAACTTGCTTCATAAAGTAGCCTATTAATAATAAGTAATACTATTGATACACATTTTAGAGTTTCTGGAGCAGATTAAATTCACTCGATTCCAAATGTAAGAGCAGCAAATAATATGTTGACTTCTAGTTGATCATTTGGAAAAGTGGCAGACGGTCATTTTTTCTGATGAATCATCTGTTGAACTGCATCCCAATCATCACAAATACTGCAAAAGACCTATAAGAACTCGCATGAACTGAAGATTCTCACAGAAATAAGTCAAGTTTGGTGTAGGGAAAATCATGGTTTGGGGTTACATTTAGTATGGTGGTGTGTAAGAGATCTGTAGAGTGGATAGCAACATCAACAGCCTGAGGTATCAACATTTGTGCTGCCCATTACATTACAAACCACAAGAGAGGGCAAATTCTTTAGCAGGATAGTACTCCTCATACTTTAGCCTCCACATCAAAGTTCCTGAAAGCAAAGAAGGTCAAGGTGCTCCAGTATTGGACAGCCCAGTCACCAGAAATTAACATTATTGAGCATGTCTGGGGTAAGAGGAAAGAGGAGGCATTGAAGATGAATACAAGTAATCTTGTTGAACTCTGGTAGTCCTGTAAGAACGCTATGTTGTTTCATATGACTTTATTAATGAGTTATTTGAGTCACTGCAGAGATGTATGGATGCAGTCCTCCAAGCTCATGGGAGCCATACACAATAATAATTCTTTTTCCACTGCATCATTACTTTATATTCTATAAGCAAAGTCAGACCTTACTACCCTAATTAAATTATTAAAAATCAAGCCATGATCATATTTTATTTTGGTAAAATAAGCGTAATCCCCAGGCCTTCGCCTTTCATGTAAGCCACTTCTGATACCAAATGATCAACTAGAAGTTAAATATTATATGTTGTTCCTAAAACTTGAATAGGGGACAAGACTTTTGTCAGGTACTGTATTTGTTAAGAAAAAAAAGATTACTAATGCTTGGAATTAAAATATATAAATATGTTTGCAATATTCCCAGAGACGGGTTTGGCTGGAAGGGCATCCGCTGGATAAGTTGATGGTTCATTTTGCTGTGGCGACCCCGGATGAATAAAAGGACTAGGCCGAAAAGAAAATGAATGAATGAATGTTTGCAATAGCTCCTGAATGATTTGACATTAAATATCTTTTAGTTAAAAAAACTAAATACTAAAATAACACTTAAAATCTACAACTAAATAATTTGTGTAATACAAATACTAAAATGAGCAATGATGAAATGGCCAAAACAAAATTTTAATTAAACCTTAAGATTGAAATTAAAACAGAAAATATCAAAATAGAAGCTAATTCAAAGTATTAGTTAACAATACAATAGGGGCTCAGTAATACTAATACGACTCTGGGACAAATAAATTGCAAAAAACAAAAACTCATGGCTATATTTTTGTTTCATACTTAATATTTTGACTTTATATCATATTCAAAGTTGATATGAATATACCACATTTCTAAAAAGATTAGATATTATGATGAATGTTGGTGATTGGCACAGTGTTTGTTCTGTATTTTACATCAGGTCTGTTGAGAACGTCAGCAATGTTTCATCTCACTATAGTTTAAATCACAAGACATTTGTTTGATTAGTAAGTAAACACAATCACTCTAAGTTCATGCTGGACATTTTTTTTTTTTTGGATCTGAGCTAATGGACTGTGTTGCTTGTGGTTGAATATTTCATTCAGCTTCTGGTGTTTCATGCTTCTCATACGTAAAAAAAAATGGCAGTGCTTATCAGGAAAATTATTAATGGCACCAGTGTAACTTCTAACAACAATTCATTTCCACAGGCAAGAAAATAATCGCAACTTAAACTCTAAGTATGTCAGATTTACTGAATTGTATTTATTATGCTTGGGCTTGTGGACATTTGTAATATTTGTTTTATGCATAAAGCTTTGGTAACATTTCTTTCCAATAAAAAAGCTATTTTTATTTTATTTTTAGAGAATATGACATTTATTGACCATATTAGCAAATGTTTTCATTTGTTTGTATGACTGCCTGGATATTTGACAAAAATGTCATGTCACAAAACAAGGTATCTCATATCATGATACTGTTTAAATTATAATTTTCATTCATTCAAATTTTGATCACTTGGGTATTTATTTTTTGGATACTCAAAGATAATCTCGTTTATGATTGATTGATTGATTGATTGATTGATTGATTTTTATTCAGACATATCAAATGAATATTAATGAAATATAAAACAAATTTAAAAAAGTAATGATTACATGCCCAACATTATATAATGCTAAATAAAATGCAAACAGTGTACTTACAAGCTGGCAACTTTCTCACCATGCTGTTATTCATGTTTCCGTCTGCTCCCCTGTAGCGGCATGATTGCAGTCATCCAAATTATGAGAAATTATTATTACAGTAAATAATGTATGTAAATGATAAAGCATAATATAGAACAAGACAAGTTATGTTGCACAGACCTATTTGAAACATTGGTATAGTGTTGTCTACAAATAATAACTAATATAAAACATGTCATTATGCAGTCTATGGAATTTAATTTAATTTGTGTTTACCTCAACACACAACTATAAATCATAAGTTCTCAAGTCTTTTTTCTATGTAATCTGAAGCCCTGATTGATTTACTCCAATAAAACTATGTAATGGACAACTTAGGAACCACTGTAAAACTTTTCCGTTTTTATTTGTTTATTTGAGAGTTAATAACTTGCGTAACCATTTTAGACATCTGTTTGAAATTATTTGAGAAATTTTCACTTTTTATTTGCATTATTTAGATTTGATTTATTTATTTCGAACAGAAAAATCATACACAAAACAATTCTTTAAACAAAATAATTTTCAAAATGGTCGAAATGGAGTGGGATGAAGTGCAAGCTTTTATTTAAATTTTATTCTCCCCCCATTACCACACATCATTCGTCTATATTTAAATATTGAAGTGGTATTTAAGTACATTTAAGGTTTTTCTAATAACCTAATTATCAGCATTGCCTTTTAAACTCAACGCAATAATCTAGGCATCTAACTGCATAAAAACGTCACATCATTCTTTTTTTTTTTTAAATCAACTGAGTGGGAAACACACCCTTTTTTGTACCCTCAAGCTAATATGTGTTTGTGTGTGTGTGTGTTTTCACAGACATGCCCATCTTCGGCCAGTGTCCTGCACAGGATGACTTCTACCTGGTCATGTGCAGCCATTGCAGTCAGGTAGTGAAACCCCAGGCCTTCCAAGCACATTACGGTAAGACCACCTTCCGCTTGTTCTCCCTGCTGTCTTCATTGGAGCCGTTTCAGAAAAAAAAATCTTATCTGACTCGAGGGAATTAAGACAGAAATCCCTCCCTCCCGCCTCCACCTCTGCTCTGCCTCAACCATCATAACATGAAGAGGGAAGAACACAAGCCTTTGATTCCCACCGCCAGACTTGTGTTTACTATCCTCAAGTTAATATTTGATGTGCTCTTTTTAGTCGGCACGTCTGCGCTGTTTTATCCAATCCAGCACATGTAAAAACCTCCCGTCAGACGTCAGAAAATTCCTGGAATGAAAAAAAAAGAATAATTAAATGAAATCGCTGCCGTTTTCTGCATGCCTCTGATCTGTGTTTTCAGGAAAATGGCTTGCTTTGGGTGTTTAGTTGTTGTTTTTTAGCTGCCACTGTGCAGTTGTTTGTAAATGTTTGTAAAAATGAAATTGTGCTGATGTTCGTTAATTCAAAAGTGAATTTATATAATGTATAATTGAACACAGAGAGTCTTCTTTCCCCAATGTAAGGCATACACTCAAAAAAATAATGTTTGCAGTTTGTTTGAACTACTTTATTTTAAATGAGCTGAAACAACACAATTCTTGAGGGTGTTTTGTGGGCAACTTGATTGTTTTATATTCAATCCACCTAAATTTGTAAAAAGTAATAAGCTCACTTAATTCCTTCTTGTTGTCTCAACACAAATCGATTGTGTGTAACCCAGCATTATTGACAGAAAAAGCTTACATTTTAAAACATGGCTTTAGGTAGGACCACTATATGATAGCAACAATGAAATTGTAAATTAACTTTTAAAAGCAGAATGTTCTAGAATTTGTCATGTTTTGGATGAATAATTTAAACGTTGATCTGTACACTTAAATATAATCATAACATGTCTGTTTAATTATGAATCCTGCATGTTTAAAGCTTAAAGTTCTGCAATTCAAAGGCTGACTTTGGGCTAAGTCAGCTGAAATTGCTATCAGTATTTATTAGGGATGTAACGGTATTGTAAATACCGTCATACCGCAATATTAATTTTTTTCGATATTACCGAAGTCGCATGACTCGGTAAAACTATAGGTCTTCTGAGAAAATTTGCTCAGGCGAATGAAGCGAACGGGAGGTAACGAAAACTACAATTGCCATCAGCCCATGCTTGACCATCATCCCTTGCGGTCTGTTGTTGCTACAGATCCAGTAATGCGGAAATGGAGTGTGCTGCTAGAAGCGGGGATGAAAAGAGCTGGAAAACTCTAAAGCAGGTCGCACACCAGAAGCGCCGCTCGGCGCCGCGACACGGCGCGTACATGACAGATTAAAGTATCGCACACCAGACGCGCACATTCGAATGATATTTAACATGAAACTAATCAGATGGCGCTCTGTGGCGCGGCTGAAAAATGAACTGCGTCCTGAGCCGTCGCCGGGCGCCGCCGACAGCCGCCGACTTGCGGCGCCGGTGTGTGTATCCTGATAGAAACCTATGATTAGAATTCTAAAATACGTGGCGCTGCGCGGCGCGCCGCCGAGCGTCGCTTCTGGTGTGCGACCTGCTTTACACGCACAGTTCAGTCCTGCATTATCTCCGTGTAAGTTCAGACTTCGCAAGTTTGATCAAGGCTGCAGTCTCTTCTTCTCAGTTTGATATGGAAAAGCAGATTATACCGAGGACACGGGTAAATCTTCAAAGGGAACAGTGTACTTTATAACTTCATTCACATCACCCTGGCTTCGTTGTTTCACTTTCTCAACAATAAAATGTAAACATGATTTAAGGAACTGCCTATTTTCATTTTAATATTAGCAACTTAGACAGCAGAAATGTTGAGGCGCCGTGCTGCATGAGCGTCATCTTCACTGTGTGGATATTTATAACAAAACGGAGCCGATAACAACTGCCTCCTTTCAATTTCAGTGAAAATACGAAACACAGCCTCTCTTTTGCTAAGTATCAGTTTTAAGAATCGATAATGGCCATTTTAAAAGTATAACATACAATAAGTTTTTACATTATAGGAAATAAAGGCGATCAGTCAATATACAGAATGTACGTGGTTACATTAATCATTAACTTATCTTTGCGCTCAGCCAAAACACGTTACCTGAGAACAAGTAATAGATTCCAATGACCAAAGTCAGGGAATATGTCGTTAGATAAAGACAACAAGATAAATGAAATATCCCGTTTAATAAATATAGTGAGATTAGATCCAGCGGGAGATGCTTGATGAGAAGTCCGACTAGCAGAGCTCTCATCTGGGTAGATGGGCTGAGTGTGATTAAATGTTGAATGTGATGAGTTTTCAACAATACTAAATTGAAACTTTATTTTTTTACATGGTTTAATAATTTTTTGTTATTAAAATTGAAGTTCCTGTTTCAAAGCTTACAGATAGATGGCTAATTTGTATGTCATTGACACTTTTGGCACTTTTTTGGAGTATTTTAATAAGTTTTGTTTTTTCCTGTAAATGATTCAATAAATACCGTACCGTGACATTCATACCGAGGTATTACCGTACCGTGAAATTCTGATACCGTTACATCCCTAGTATTTATTGACCAAACAGCATTGTCAATATTAATAAAAAAGATTCAGTATGAAGTTTTGGTATGAAGGCTATAGTTTTGTTAAAATGCGGCTGCTGAGTGCACGCCTTAGAAGGATGCCAATAAGCTTAGGGCATAAGTCATTTCCAATAGAGGCGCATTTTCCAGGTACACTTTGTTAAAAAAAAAAAAAACATCTGAACTTTTTCTGCACTGCGATTCATGCAAGTAGAACTAACCAATCTTCTTCACAATTTGTATGGAATATACACATTTCAGTAATAACGGCAGGCTAATTACCTCTGACAAACACTGCAGTGCTTTTTACTTTTCTTCTTCTTTTCAATTTGCATTGGAGCTGCAGCAATGGTTTATACGTTTGTCATCCTCTGAGAAAACAGTTGATGGTTGCCTAGTCATGAGAGACACCTATAATAATGGTGAAGGTATCCATGCGATCGTGCTTGTCAATTCAGGTCAGAATAGCAACACGTGCGAAAATGAGTCATATAGCAGCAATGAGGAGATTGTACATAAAAAAGGATGCAAGGATGCCGCCAGAGTGCCTTTTTGGTTTCTTTTCTTGTGCATCCCAGCCACTAGCTCCCCATCTGAAAGATTTTTTAGCATAGTGAGTCATTGAGTCATTTAACTTCACAAAGTGTAATGTTGCAATATGTATTTCAATAATAAAAGTTAGTTCCTTTACTTGAAAGGGGCGAAGCAGTGGCACAGTAGGTAGTGCTGTCACCTCACAGCAAGAAGGTCGCTGGTTCGAACCTTGGCTCAGTTGGCATTTCTAAACAAGTCTAAAATGGCTTGTTCCAAAGAGCTGATTCCGCAACCATATGGTACTAAGGCAGAAGAAGAAGAGTTCCTTTACTTGAAAGCTCAGATTTGATCATCATAATTTGTTTTGTTTACAGAGTTTGAAGTCTATTGTATCATTATTTACACCTTACAAATGTTGATCTACATTTACCATTGCACACACTTTGTAACATTTTATTTATCGTTTAAGAGTCTCTTTAACACCTATGTTTATTTTATTATAAAGAGATGAGTAACTTTTTAAAAATATTTTAGTTTTGACTATTTAAACGGTTTGCCCAGGTAATATTGGTAAATTAAAATGAACTGGTTAAATAACAAAAAATCCTAACATTCCTAAATGTATTGTTAAAAATATTCAACAATTATTGATATTGAATCTTATGAAACATGATATAGGGAGAATTTCTTTGCAATATGGCCCAGCTCTAGGCTGACTGCTAAAATTGAAAACATATTGTTTATATATGACCCTAGACTGGACCACAGAGCCAGTCTTATGTTGCATGGCTATTGCCAAAAATACATGGCATAGATCAAAATTATAGATTTTAATTTTATGCTAAAACCATTATATTATTAAGCACAGATCATGTTTCGTGAAGATATTTTTGTAAATTTTCTACTTTAAATATATATAACGTAATTTTTGATTAGTAATGTGCACTTTATTCAGACAAATTTAAAGGTGCTTTTCTTGATATTTAAATTTAGGGAAAAAACTCAATAGTTGAGCCATTATTGTCTTCTCGTAATGTAATCATTGTTGTTATTAGTTTTAGTAGTAGTGCATTAGACATACATACATACATACATACATACATACATGCTGTACATGCATAAAAATAATAACAACAATAAATATTATACTATGGGAGGACAATAATGGCTGAGATATAACTGAATATCTGGAATCTGTTTTTTTTTTTTTTTGTAAATCTAAATATCAAGATAATCACCTTTAAATTTGTCTAAATGAAGCATTTATTGCACATTAGGAATAAAAAATGACACTTTGTATACAGTATTTAAAGTAGGACATTTAGATTTAGGAAACAAAACAGATATTCAAATAGTTGTATCTCAACCATTATTGTCCTCTCATAATATAATAATTGTTGTTGTTTTTATTTGTTGTAGTAGTACATAAAGACATAAATATACACATGCATAGGTTCTAATGTATGTTCTAATGTTAGAGCCCAACTTGAAGGTAGCGCCCTTGATTTCTGCAATGTAGGAAAAAAATGCAGACAAAATTGCGGAATACAGTAATAAAAACGTTGAGTTAGCGTTATAATTAAATTAATTAGCCATATGTTGCAGAACTTTTGGGTTTATAAATCAAAAGTAACGCCTAATCAAATCATGATGTTAAGCTGCCTGTAAACAGAAAACAGATGAAAACTGACAGCCCAGCAAAAAATAAAAATAAAGAATTAAATTAATACAGTAGAATAAGAATCAGTAATAAAAGTGAAGTGAGCCTTGTATCATAATAGTATTAATAATACAAAATAGTATTATAGTATTATTAGTACCATAGTTTTAAAATATAATAGTATAATAGTAGTATTCATTATTAATAGTACATATCATGTCATTTT